TATTCCCTGATGACCGTAACTGTCTGTGTGGCATCCTGTCCATGGTTGCTGAGTTAAATAATTCTGAACCAAGCTGGTACACAAATTGACCCACTAGCAGATTGATGAACAGACCAACACTGCCAACCCTATAACTATGCTACAAGCATAGCTAGAAATGTGGCTATAGCTTCTTTGTTAGTTCTTCTGTCTTCCCGCTATAAATTTGACCTTCATGGAAATAACAGAATACTGTATCTCCATTTTTAGTTGAAACTGGATTAGTGCAGTGTTGAATCAATTGGATGGTCACAAAGTCTGTGGTGATGTTGAATTTTATTGCATTATATTGCTGAGAGGTGTTTCTTACTCTCTTTGATAGCTATGGGGTCAAAAAGTATTAGAAACAATTCAGTGTGTTGCACCACAAACAGTCTCCACAAGGGAGGAGATAAAGTTGAATCAACACTTCTCTGAGACAGTTTCAACAAAAGCTGAACACTGCAACCTTCATAAAGTTAGCTATTAAAACAGACCCATAGTTTTGCTGTTGTAATAGAGTGTGTTTGTCTTAGCTGGGTGTCCTAATAAAAAAAAAAGAAAAGAAAAATAGTGGAAAAACAGAGACACAGACCACTTCGCAAAGTGAGCTGAGGAGTCAGAAGGGACAAAAAAGAGGATGTCCTTAAAGAGAGTGTTTCTTTTTAAGCTAAATACATATTGAAAAAGAAACCCCACAATGTCTTGATGAAGCCACCTGCACACAGAGGGCAGGCTGCCACTGTTTCAATGGGCACTGCATGCACTCCCCAGCGGGCTTCCAGATAGCGGCTAAAGAGCTTATTTCCCAAATCTCTTTAGCCTTTCTAGAACTGTGAGACGTTGACAGAAAGTCAGTTAACTCTAGCCAGTGGCAGCTGCATGGGTTTTGCATAATTAATTATTTATACGGAGCCAGACATAGTAATTACCATCCAGATGAATATGATATTCTAATCAGGCAGGCTTTAATTTTAATTGCCCTCCAGCATCTAACTGTCAGTGCTGGCCTGGCTTGATAAAGTGGAGAGTCTCAAAACACCATTAGACATCTGCTCTGAGAGCATTGCCACCGCTACCCACCATCCACCACAAAAATCAATATAGGACAGGGACGTGTGCGTGTGTGTGTGTGATCTTGCTCATTTTTCTATGGAAAGCCATTTTTCGTCAATGACAAAACCAGAGCAGGGCTTCAAGCCATGGAGCCCCATACCTGATGATTGATGAGGCCTCTAGGATTTTGTGTTTCTTTCTTTAAAAAAAAAAAAAGAATTTAGAATATCATTTCAATATATTGTATGGAAGAGCTTTTTTTGTCTTCTAAATAGTGTTTTCTGAGGCATGAGAGATGGAAAAGGTGGCTTAAAATATTTGTGTCCAGGCAAATCATCCCCTGTATATCTGTAGAATGTATTGTGATGGTTAGTCGGGGTGTTAAAATTAGCATGACACTTTTTTTTTAAGCAAATCTACATTTTTTTCATAGTGGACGTACGTTTGTCAGATCTGTATGTTTGGCAGTTAGATTATTTACACTTCTGACTCACCAGTTTCTCAGATTTGGGAATTTCACATCTGAAGATGACCAGCTCTCTGAGACCCCTTGACAGATCTCAGTGCAGCAGACACCATAAT